AGGAATGCCAGATCCCTGGCCCTAAAGACATCTGGAATGACCAAGAGGCAGACAGATTCAACTGCTTCAAGTATAAAAGGAACAGGGAAAGACTCGCATGCACTATTACGTTTTACTCTCACAAACTTCCACCCACAGTTCTTTTAATTTCTCCAGCAGTTGGCTTGGTTGTGAACTTGTGATCTGGCCCTCCACCGAATCCCTCACCCCGCTGCTTGCAGTGCATCTCTGCGGTTCTGGGAGAGCACCCTCCTCTCTGGGGAGCCACGCTGCTTTTCCTTACCATACTGTACGAGAGACGAGGTCTGCGTAGTGGATCCCATGTCCCAGGAAGAGGCAGTGGTGCTCCCACCAGGCTGGGTGTGCTGAGCAGCCAGCTGAGCCAGAGCCTGGGCGGTCTTGAACTGCTCCAGAAACTGAGAACCTGTAGTACTGCTGCTTTTGGTCTCCCCGACATCTCCAAACCCTTTCCCCAGCATGCTCACCTGCAATTTCAGCAAAGAAATAAGAAAGTCAATGTCTCCCTTGGCTTGGAACTTGGCTCAGAGGACAGATACACCTCTTCACATAAGCCTGAACACACTGTACTCTGCTGCTTCTCACTGGGCACCTCAGCCAAACTCTTGAGCTCCAGATGCACACAGACACTGCTGGCAAGGAGACCTCATACCTCTCTCACAGCCTTTATCACACATGAGTGCAGGTACACTTATCTGTTGCCCAACCCACAGCATTTTACGGTGTCAGGGAGGCTTACAAAGAAAGTTAACAGACAGGATCTTTAAAAATGTACCGAATTACTCACATGCATTTGGTTGCACTAAAAAAGACAGCCACCAGGAGAACTTGGCTTTACATTTAAGGTAGTTTTGAAAATCCTTCCTGAACTCTCTCACCATTAAGCACACAATTTTAATTTCTTTTGCTGAAGTTACACAAAGAAGCAGCTGCCCAGGGCTGTGCACATCCCTGATTCAGACTCAATGCCTCCTTCCTTCACCTGTCAGTAGATGCCAGCAGTTCATCCCACACCAAACTCCCAACCAGTCCCACTTCTCAAACTGTTGAATTTATAAACCCTGGACTGCAAGAGTTTTTTTTCCTTTCCTCTGAGCAGGAAAGAAGCATGCGTTGCAAATGTGACAAGGGCATCAGGGGAGGAGTTATCCCAATTATTTCTAATTAAGAAATGGACTTCATGCCTCTGTATTTAGAGCAGAGTGGGTATTGTCCAAGCAGAGGACTCTGCCACCCACAAGAAGCGACCAGGTGTCAGAACTGTATTCCCCACGTTGCCCAAATGTAGACAGGAAAAGTCAGGGAAACCAGCACCCGCCAAAACCTGCACGCTGGCAGGGACGAGTGTTTCCTTACCATGCTGTGGTGAGAGAAGGAGTTACCAGAGGCAGGCTGGGTTATAGCACTCTGCTTGGAATTGCTGAACACCAGTGGCTGGGCCAGGGAAGGAGCCTGGGACGACTCCAGGTTTGTTGACTCATTCTCCATAGAAGAGGGCGTCTTTCCGAGCAGGACTGCAAGATCGATTCTGGGTAAAGAAAGAAGATAACCCACGGAGATTACCAAGAGCTGTCATACCCCTCACTTCCATTACAGCAGTATTCTACCTCCAGCCTCACAATTTATAGCTTTTACTTTACAAATTGAACGAATTTGAAAAGTAAACTGAACATGAACTCAACTGCCAGCAGCAACCTCAAAAGGACAGAGACCATGCAAGATCCTGCACGGCCTTCTATTTAAAGCACGTCTTCCATTAATTTAACACAGCAAAACGCCCCCAAATCTGAAGAACCAGCAGCAGAGCTTAATCCAGGATAAGGACCCAGAAACTCCTAACTCAACTTATCAATTTACATCCATCTCATCTTATTCAGAGCTGCTGCATTTTAGCTAGCTGGCAAGGTTTAGTCTGAGATGGCAAATTGCTCTGGGACTTGTGTGCCACTCTTCCCACGTAAACAGAATTGCCATGGGTTATCACCTCTGTCCAGCTGTGATTGTCACATTCTCGGCAGGCAGAGGCACTGAAGACACGTTGGAGGCGGTGAAGATCTTCGTCTCAGACAGCTGAAAGATAAAAAAAGGCAAAAAGAATCCAAAAGTGAGAACAGCGTCTCAGGAGTCCAAGTAAAGCACAAACACATTTGAGACAAACAGCCACAGAGTGATTCAGGAAATTCAAGTGTTTAGACTCAAACTTCTCTAACATTTGGCTCCCATCAGAATCAGCTTCTATTTCATTTGTTTCTTCTCAGGCAAGTGCACAAATCACCTGCCAGTGAAAAAAAAAACAAACCAAAAAACAAACCCATACAAATAAACCCAAATCCTTCTACAAATTTCCCATAGTCCACAAATCCACTAGGGCTGCTGGGCTTAGACAGGCGCTCCGAACTGATGGTACGCAGCACTGATCTGCAAAACCCACTGCACAGGTAGGTGCAAGCATTGCTAGAGAAGTCAAAGAAAAAAGCTTCAGACCTACAATTAAGCTGCCAATGATGCTGGCCTCACCTGGATGATCTAACCAGGGCCCAACAGATCTACTTCAACTATGGAAGGGAAAATAATATTACTCAAAAATGAATGAAGGAGAGGTTTAATGACCACTTGCGATTTATCCCGGAACATATCTGAACATAAACAGCTTTTATTCCAGATGGAAGAGCTGCCAGCAACTAAACTGCAAGAGTTTAAAAACAAAATCAGGAACCCCTGGGAGCACATCACACACAGCGAAGGCAAGAAGGGCTATCAAAGGCTCTCTTCAAGCAGAGACCTGACTGAACAGACAGAGAAACTGCTTGCGTCTCCAAACACAGCAGGAGTGCTTCCTTCAGACAGTGCCTGGAAAGCAAAACCTTTCCCTTTGTGCCTGTTCTGTAGGCTTAGCAAAAATGAGCATGCAAAACTAATAATAATACTAAAAAAGGCCAACCCTGCTCTCATCTGCAAGAGCAGAAGTTCTCCCTTGATTCAGAGAGGGACTGAAGCCCATTTCAGGAGAAACTGATACAGAGGCATTAAAAGCAGGTGGTACACAGCGTTCATTCTCCCCTGAAGGAGACGCCAGGTAGAGAACAAAAAGCAGCGCGACATGCCAAAGAGCCAGTCAGAAGGTAAAGCCAAGAGCTTCTCTTCAATCCAAATCACAAGGACCAGCAGAGGCACGTGACACACGCAGGAAATCGCTGCTGCCTCCTCCACTGCACGCGGTGTGGATCAAAGGCAAACCTTCCCAAACTGCCACTCCACCAGAGGAGTAGAGCAAGAATCCTGCGTGGAGTCAGGCTAGTTTACAGAAGAATTCGATCACGCAGTTGCAGGAAATGAGAGGACCAGACTGGATGCCCCAGGAGATCCCTTCCTGCCTCGGGCTCCTCTGATAAGCTCTACTATACGTGTACTTTAGAAGCAGCGATGTTTACTTATTCATCATAGCTCCCGGAATTGGGAGCCTGGTTTGGGCTATGCCCGTAGTTTGGGGAGGATGGGCTTTGCGCTTCTCTCGTAGCTGTGTGTGTACAAACAGAACAGCAGCCTGCCGGCAGACGCCTGGAGGAGAGGGGTTTGGAGAGTACCTACATCTTCATTCCAGTCCTCCGTGCCCCATTCTTCCGTCGCTGCCCTCCACGCACCTACAGGGATAACAACAGGTAGAGAAGTTACGCACGCATCAAAGCTCTACCTCCAAGAGCCGGGGGAGCTTTGCAAGCAGCCGAGAGGATTTCTATTTGCCAACCAGACAAGTTAAAGCAGTCAAACCCCAACCCACGATTCACGGGCAGGGGGCTGCGATGGCATCACCCCAGCCTTGCTCGGGGCAGGCTAGGCGGAAAGAGAGGGACCGCTGGGCTGGCAGCGAGGGCAACGCACACACCCCGACACCGAACAGGAAAGCTGAGCTTGGCAAGGAAGTCCCAGCATCATCCCCAGCCTCCTTGTGCCATTTTTCCTCATTTCCCCACATATTGCAGTAGCTGCAAGTTGCTGCATACACGAGCAGTCCGTGTTACCCCAGCAGCTCGGACAGAGCACCTCCTTCGGGGGCTTCCTGCCAGCTCTTGTGCAGGATCTCACCACCCAGTTAAACCTGAAGCTTCTATAAAACCCAGGGATAACCGAACCATTTGCATGGTTCGTGTTTTTTCTTTTTTTTTTTTTTCTCCTTTCTTCCCTCCTCCCCCACAAAATGTTGAAACCTCACTGCACCAGGAACAGGCAAATGGGAATCAGAAAGGAAAATTTAAGGAACTAAGCAAATCCACGCATTTTCTGCGACCAATTTCAGAAACATGCTCAAAGTGAGTAGTTTAAGACATCAGGGAGAAAAGCACAAGATTTCAGCCGCAATCCAGCACAGCGCAGTTTGTAAGAGAGCAAAATTTACTGGGGGGCTAAAAAAAAAAACCCAAACGTTTTGCCTGGCCGCATCTTCACCTTGTTCTGCCTCTCACTTCCATCACAGTTTAACCTCAGTACTTTGAATTTTACATGGCAACTTCTGAATTTATTAGACAACTTAAAATTTGGTGCGGGAGGAGGGCGGGAACATTTTACCTCCCAAAAAACTCAAGAGTGTAAAAACAGCCGCATTTTGCGGGACTTGTTTTCAGCCCATGCAAACCAGATCAACAAAACGCGACACAGCCAACAGGGTTAATCCTGAAGCCATTCACAAGGACGGAACAAGTTGGCATCAGCCCTGTTATAAATCAAATGCCTTTTACAGCATAAAAGCATAACACGTGGGAACAAGACGACTGCGATTCTTCCGTAGGACACAATCGGGCTTGCTGAGATTTTGGAGGGAAGAAAACAGCAGATCTTCCCATGTACACTTTAATTACGAGGCAAAAACATCCAGACAACTGCTTGTCTAGAAGTGGGGGATTTAGTGCCCGAAATAAGTATATTATCAGAAAATTATTCCTTTTGCCATGTTGTTTTGTTGGGTGTTTTGTTTTGCCTGGCAAGTAGAGCCAATTCAAGAAGCCTCCCTTGTTTGTTTGGGTTTTTTTTTTTAATATTTAAGTCAGAAATACAGATATTTATACAAACGTGACTTCCCTGAGTGCCAGGAGTCTCAAGGCACACTACTGTACCCCCTCTGCCCCAGACAGAAACATCAGGAAAAGTTCAACGCATTCAATGCGCACCACATCTGGACTTTAAAAACCCAGATTCCGCCATTCCTTAGATTTTTTGTTATGCCCTCACAGCAGCAGTAGGAATTTTCATGGGTCAGGAAGAACCAACCAGCTCAACCCTTGCCCAAGAGGCGAAGTGGGAGCTGGAGGTACCTGGGTCAGCTGCAGTGGGCAGGGGAGAGCAGGAAGCCGAGAGAGTTGCCCCAAGAAGTTTGTGCATGTAGGAACATGGCACAGGGCTCTCTCAGACTTGCTCGCTCGGGGAAAATGAGAAGAAAAGCAAAGCAGCACAAAAAGCACCTATTTAGCATGGCTTGTGCTCCCTGCACATGAAGGGACAGATGGAAAACCAAAGACCTGCGACGTAGAACCTGGCATTTGCCAGAAAGGCTCCAGAAAGCTTCTTAACCAGCACAGTGCGTTGAGATTTTTTTTTTAAAAAAAAAATGAGTGTATCGCTCTCCATCAAGCTCCTCCAAAGGGGAGGGCTGCGACGCAAGCAGCGCCCTGACGCTTCCAACACCATTTCAGAAGTGTCATCTTCTGAACAGCAGTCCCTCCCCTCTGCTTTAAGGAAGCCCTTCAAAGAGCTGCTGGTTTTTGAGCTTCTCAAAACAGGAAAAGGGGAAAAAATAAAATTAAAAGTCAATAGGCGTTTGCCAATATGAATGAGCTGAAGAAAAAAAAATCCTGTTGTGTCTTCAAGATCCCCCCCGGCCCCCAGCACGAAATATACTCTCTCTTAGGTTTAAACTGGGAGATGAGCAACCAGCTTGCTCCTCCTGCAGCCTATCAGGCGGTCTGCCACCATCTCAGTGACTGAATATGTGCTCCATGCCTCAGCCTGGAAGGATAACAGACCCAAAACCCCCCACTCTGCACCTCAAAGGAATGTAAATCCAAACAAAGCCAAAGCGTGGCAAAAATATAATGGCAGCACCGGAGCAGATGGCCTTGTGCTGCCTGTGGGAGTTAAAGATTAACCCAGAGATGAGAACTGCAAGATGCTCCAAAGCAAAAGAAGCACTCCAAGAACGTCTGCCTCCGGGCCCCTGCAAGAGAGACTCTACAGCCTCAACACTCTTCCTCCTTTCCTGACCTTCAAGAGCAATGTGACGAGTTCCTTCAGAAGGGCCCTTAGCCTCGACTTCCAGACCTCAGCTTAGATGGAGGAGGTGTTAGTCAAACACAATTTGGTCTCGTTACGGACACCGATGGGATTTGGGAGGTAAAAGGCAATCTAGATCATCTCATGGGTGTCTCTTGGCTTCGTAAGGCATAAATGTATAGGAGCAGGATGTAAAGTGGCCAGGCACTGAGCAGGTTTGCCATCAAACATCTCGGTCATCTCAAAATCCACCCTCATCTTCAACTGCACTGTATGTCTGCTCAGGTGAAGAAGAGCAGCCAGGCAACAAGAGCATGCCAAAGCCACCGTCAAGCGCATCGCTCACCCAGAAGCAGCCGTAAGCAGCGGCAAAGCACTGAGATAGTTTAGCCAGACTAACTCCCCTTGCAGCAGCATTTTGACCCTAAGCAGAAACACAGCGGGGAGGCCAGCAGTGTGATCGCTGCAGAACTGAACCGCCGCACCGAGGAAACGGCACGGGGACAACAGCAAGTCACAGCTTTCCGGATGCGAGACAAGCGGAACACGACTAAGGTGCCTCAGGCTTCCTCCCCTCGGGTGGGACACTCTGTCGTCAGTGCTGTGGACACGGAGCTGCTCTGAGTACTGAGAAGCAGTGGCTGAAGTTAAAATTTATATAATCCACGAGAATTTGGGTTAACCTCTCCCAACTTACATTCAAGGTGTCAGCATTAGTAAAAGCACAGTCAGAACAAATGTCAAATATTCATTAAAATGAACAAATTAAGAGAGAGAATGACATATCCACAGATATTTCAGTTTGTTTTTTTTTTTTTTAAAAAAAGCTATAAAGTAAAGGTATCCGGGGCAGTTAGTGCACCTGGATGTATCGTACCAGGAGCAGTGTCAAATTTTCGGGGATAATTTGACCCCTCACCCCCAATGAAATCAAGTCCTGAAACAAAAAAAAAAAGAAAAGAAAGACAACCAGTGAAATTTTGACTTAAAGAAGTGAAGGCGAGTTTCATTGCCCCCACGTACACCAGTCACATCGTACCTGTGGATATTGTTAATTCAAAGAGATGCCTGTGGCTACTAAAATGGAAACAAAACGACCACGCGCGACACAGGTAAACAGCATAGCTGCGTGATAAACTTTACAGCTGTGTTGTAGCACTAGAGCAAATGTGAGTTGTTCCATCAGGAAAAAAAAAAAGAATAAATTCAATTCCCCCCAACCACACTCTAACCCACTTTGTTCCACAAAACAGCAAGACAGCAAAAAACCCAACAAAACCACACAGAAGCCTGTTCGGACTAGACAGTTAAACTTCCAGCACGTAGAGCTCATCCACTCCCATTCCTCTTTCCTCCAGAGACAAGTATACCCATTGCCCTTAACACATGCCTCAACTACTCCCTCTGGTATTTAAAACTCCATTTCTCAGCCGGCAAGAAGATGATCACTCAATCTGCTAGTGTTTTACAAAACCATGCTTGCTCCCCCCACTCTTTCAAAACAGCTGTTTTCTGAAAACAAAACAAAACCCAACAAAAAACCACCAAAACACAAACCAACCAAAAAAAAAAAGTACACTAACAATGCGTAGTAAAAGGTATCACAGTCCACAGTACTTTATTTCTCTCTTTCCAAAGGTACCAGTTTTTCAGCAAATACAAGAAATATGGAAGTGGCTTAAAGCAAAATTAACGCGGTTGTGAACGCTTCTGACAACCAAGAGGTGGTATTGACTTGAATGCTCAAAATTCATGGGAAAATAGAATAGTTTGAGTTCACAGCGGTTCAAGATTGCTCCGTAAATACAAAAAACCAACACTCTTTAAAAATCCCACACAAATAAACTACTTACGATTAGGCATTGTCCCTTGCGACTCTGTCCAGCTATCACACTGCAAAATCTGAGTTCACTTGTGTCTTACAACAGTGTGCATACTTGGAATAAAAAAAAAAAAGTACCATTTTTCCAAAGCAAGAGAATGTTCAAGGGCAGATCGGCGTTCATGAACCACACAGTGAAGAAACTTTTACTTCAAACAGGGAAGCGATGAGGATTTCTCTTCAACTAGCTCTCTGTAACAAGGTCTCACCCTGCAGCACTATGAGCAAGATGACCATGAAAGAGACAACGCTCCCCAGACCAAAATCAAGAGCAAGACATCTGAACTCCGAGTAATATTCTCTGGAGGATGCACCAAATATTAGGACAACTTGCACGTGTTTAACGCACTACAGTTTATAAAAAAAAAAAAAAAAGACAGACTTTTCCAAAGAGGCAGCATGGTTTCTGCTGGAAAACAAAGGGAGGCAACTGCTCCTGTTCCTCTGTTGGGCAACAGCACACAGAAGCTCACACCAGAACAATTGTCCAGCTCCCAATTTCCAACGTGGTCACCCTAACAAGATGCAAAGGCACCTACGGGCGCCAAGAAACAGGGTCACTGAAATCCACCTCTGAACCAACAACCCGCTCCTCCATCCCTGAGCCGAAGACCTACCCAGAACCTCCTCAGTGTGACCAGATGGACACAAAACCTGTTAACCATCTAAATACAAAACAGCCAACACGCGTGTGAAGACCACTTACTTGTGCCATCATCCGGCTCAAAGCTACCAGTGTTGTTCCACGTGTTGTTGTTGCTATTCCCATAGTTCTCATCCGTGCCGGCCGGCTCGGCATAGTCAGCTGGGTTGAAAGTTCTGCAAGAAATACAAGGATGGAAATTTTTACTCCCTCTCCTTAAGCATTTTAAACACAACCGATTTTATTCCGGACATGCCACATCTAAAAGAGTCTCCAAAAGACAGTTCTCTCAGCAGAGGGATGCCTCACCTACACCAGCCATTCCAAATTTAAGTTATTATGGTGTAGTTTGGGCTTTAGTAAGAAGAAAAAAAAAAAAAAAAAAGGAAAATCAGAACACAAATGACTGATGCAAATGGTACTATTCATGCACAAAGATTTTTATTTTTGCTACTGTTTGTACCAGAGAAACTTACCCCATGCCTTGGGCAGAAAATCTTCCCCCTCGCCTTCCAGAGCCACCTGTAAAATATACACACACACGCTGCTGAGCATCTCTCTTGGCTCTGCATCGCTGGGAAAAGAAACATTTGAACAACATATGGATTTGTGATGCCCAGAATATGAAAGCAGTGAGGATCTTCCCGAGCTGATGGGATTTCCAGCAGCGTCTTTATATGTATGGGAATGACCTCAGCTGGCTGGCAGTGTAATTAGCGATGCACAATTCCAGGCTCAGACGAGGTTTCCAGCTGGCACAAACCATAAATACCGGACCCCAGGTTCTGATTTCTGCAGCGTGTGTCCTCAGCAACAATTCCTGAGCAGCATGGATTTTGTGGACAAATTAATTTCTGCCGCTGAGTATTTAAAAGCCAAGCCAAGCATCTGCACAGCAATGGTGCTCAGAGACACGTGTGCAAGAACGAGGAGGATCCAGATGCTGTTGCTAACAAGCACCTGGCCCACCTGCCAAACCATCACCTTAGTTTTTTTAACTTCCCACCTTTATACAATAAAGCCCTATTTTTTTCAGCTCCATGAGATGGAAGAACTAGATACTTTTTCTCGCAAGCTTAAGATGGGGAAGCAACATGTAGGCACTAGGTGTAAGCATGAAAAAGAAAAATCAAGTGCTTATTTTCAGTTTGGCAATTCCTCCCATCAAAGAGGCTTTCAGACCTCACAGAGGAGACAGATACACCGACACAATTCTTCTCCCACCCCCTCTGACCTCAAACCCTGCGTGTACCTCGGCCTCGGCCACGTCCCCGTCTCCCTCTTTCTGTGCCTCTTCCAGAAGTTCCTCCACTCTTACCACCGTCTAGTCCATTCTCCTGGCCCCGAACTGAAAGACAGAACGATGCAAAGACAATTTCAAGACTCATCCTGCTTTAGGGATGATCCAAGACCAACCTCAAACAGTGAAGCGCAGCGGCTGTGCGGGAGATCACGCCACCAAACGCTCCCATAGCTTCTTTTATTTAAGCTGATGGTATTGAGGGTATCACCCAAGGAATCATCTCAGACAGAGGAGCATCAAACAGATGACCACACACGCAAGCATGGTTTTCCTTAAAGACACGTCTGCCCAAGAAGCTTTACTGAGAGCTTTTACGCAGCCCAAAGCGCCTCGGCGTGCACCGTGAGAGTTATGGGGGTTATTAAAGGGCAGGTCCATACACTCTCTTCCACGGCTGGCACCTCGCCCCCGCCTCGGTGGCCCGCCACGTCGTCTGCTGAAATCCCGATCTCTCTCCCGGTTCTCTTTGCTTTCTTCACTAGGTTCTGTCTGTCCGCTCTCCTTCTGTCCTGAGACACCCTTCTTCTTCCCGACCATTTCCCAGGAATGCTGAAGATTTGCAAAGGGGAAAGCAGTTAATCATGGTTTGATCGACGCACGATGCAAATACACACATAAACATGCTACAGAGACTATAATTAGGGTCTCAAGAAAAATGGTTTCCAGTCCAAAATATTATTTTGTTTTTAGAAGATTCTACCAGCCTACACACAGTACAGCCTCTTCCTTCAGGGAAAGCTTTCTTACAGCTGACTGGCACACAGTTTGAGGTAACAGGAGATGAGTTATTCTATTTCTACAAAGATCTACTAAACCTCTTAAATAGAGAGGGCACAATACTTACTCAGGTTCAAAGCGTGGATAAATTTACCCTGTTTAGGGAAAAAAACCCTGCCATTTCATACAGGTCACTGTTTTGGGGAGCTCTCAGAATAACCCAGGTAAATATTCCAAAATGCTCTACAGTCAACATTTTGGGGCAAGTTGTCGTCTCAGATGCTGAGTGACTTAACAAAACCCCTCATCTAAGTAGCAGCTCGCAGGGAAAGGAGTATCACAGAATTTATCCAACAGGCAAGTTCAGATCATCCCCAGTTCAACTGTAAGAAGTTAAGCACGCCGCCAGCTTACTGCCACGGGCCCACATCAGTTTATTTTATGACAGTCTGCAGAGGTTTCATACTCTTAAACTGACACTGCACACTGTTAGAACAATTAAAAATAGTCACAAGTCATTGACAAACACCTGAAAACATAACTGGCAGACAAGTAAACAGCTGGTTTTGGATGGCAACATGCAGGGACAGTGACAAAAAAAACCTCAGAGGCATGAACTGCCTTCAAACCCACGGCTTCTGAAGTCTCTCTCCATAGGCATCTGGCTCAGAAGGAGATTTAGGAAAATATTTACTTTGAATACTGTAAATTTTAAGCCAAATCTAACTCAGCGCTAAGATCCTGCCAGCTCCTTTGCCGTATGAAACACGGTACGGTATGAGTAACTAGCTCAGCAGGTGAGCTGTCTTCATCAGCAGGTGAATATCTGAGCAATTAGCAAGTCTGTTTCTTATCAGAAAATCCCCTTTACAGGATTGCTGCACAAGCTGAATCCAGGCCAGAAGCGGCTCCAAGACCTTTGACCAATTACAGTGCAGGCGCTGCCTGCGCTCAGCGCGGCGGGTACCAGCCCGCAGGCCCCCCATGGCACTGCAGGCTGGAGAAGCGGGCAGGCTCTCCAGGGTTTTGCTCTGCCAACTCCATTTCTGCCTCTACAAATCTTCCGCAGTAACCGTGCCTTGCCCCGCATCTCACGCTGCTGAGCGTTTCAGCTGTTCCAATAAAGGAATTACCGCTACACAACGCAGTTTGTGGCACACTATCCTGGATGCTATTTTCATGAGCAATGCGTTTTGTCCAAGAAACGCAATGGCTGTGATAACAGGAGTTTGTCGTTTAACTAGAAGCCGCTGGTTACAAGGGATGGGGAGGAAAATACAGTCATGGCAGAGCTTTGCCTCAGCAATGCACAATCGTATCATCTCCCTTTCTAAAAGGATTTTCCAACAGCTGTTTTGTTCAGTTGTCAATGGAAAGGGCTCTCTAAAGGCAAGGAAGAACCCTTACATGCGCTGCGCTGAACTTGGCTGCTGCCAAAGTTAGCAAAGCACCTGACTTTGTGGAGCAGCTCCATTACAGAGAATATAGTCTGAGCTGTCCAGCTCATCCATCTACGCTCAAGAAGAAAAATGAGGGAAATAATGAGGGAAATAATGAGCTAACGCATAATATTCTGAAGGGATACTTAGAGCCTCAACTCTACACAGAGTTGAGTCGGCTTCAGCCAAACCAGGGTGCTGGGAGGACATGTTTGATCAGCAGCACTTTGGAAGGATGTGATATTTGTAGGCTTTTTACTGGGCTGTAACAGAACTTGTGTCTCTCTGCTGCCTTTGTCACAAAATGAATGACATCCTGCACACCAGGCGGAAGGTTCCTCCTAACCAAGCGCTTCTTCTGTTCTCCAAGCTGACTTCGGCTTGCCTGAGACAGGCACCTCCGTGAGTGACAGCAGTCGAGCTTAACTCCACAGAACACAAACAGCAAAAGACCCTCAAAAGCGTGGCACGGGCAGCGGCACACAAGCCGGTCAGCACATCGCTGAGAAGCAAACGTTTAGGGCCAGAGACACAAAATTGCGTTACCCTAAAAGAAAGGAACCACAGCTAACATATAACCGCCCTTTAACGCAGGTCGATCAGCCCTTGCGGGGAAAGATAAGTTATTTCATGCTCACAGGACTGTGAAAGTTTATACAGATGCCACCGTACCGTTGTCAAAGTGCTTGGATTCAAAAGGAACAGGAAGTAAATGATTTATGGCATTTTCCCCTCTACTCCTTTGGGCCACGCTGGCCACGCTCGTATTCTGAGCAAGCCTACGGAGAGCAGTGTTAAGAAGCCAGGACACAATCACACGTAACATGCTACTTGTGGAACCAGTCGGTCATTGTGGCTCTCGTTATCTAGACATTACTGTATGTCTTGTCTCCAAATATGCAGTTACACTGAACTAGGCCTCACCAGATTTACAGGACCCAATCCTACCGTGTCCGGATTGCCCTCCAGCAGCACGTTGATGGCTCTGTTAACATCTCCGTTGCAGTCATGCAGAGCAATCACGCACTCGTCCTGGTTCTTGCCTGTGATGTCAATCAGCTGTAGAGAAGACAACATCACAGTCAGCAGGTCCCAAACCAAGGCGGCACCAAAATCTCTATGGATCTCTTCGAAGACAAGCAAGTTGAAGCCCAAATCAGAAATCCTACAATGGAATGTCAGGGTTTGGGAGTCCCTCCAGCATCCTCAGCTTAATTACGCCCCCTCAATGAGAAGTAACCGAGGGTGGGAATTACTGAGTTACCGTTGTTTCAGCACAATCCAACCTAAAACCTCCTTTTCTCAGGGTAACACTGTTCCCTGCATTCTGGGGAACACGCCAGTCCAAGGAAATTCAGGCAGCAGCGAGATGCATCCCTCCCACCCCCCACAGCATTCACGGTATTCTCGACATCGATGCTGCCCTCCTGTCAGGGTTCACCCTCACTTTCCATACTCACTTGTTTCACCTTCTCCTCAAAGTCAGCGTCGTTGTGGTCCGAAATCATCTGTGCAAGTCGAATCTGTTCTGCAGTGGCCTAAAGAAATTGAATGGAGAGAGAGAGCACAGTTAGAGTGGCGCATTTCCAACAAACCTTCCTCCAAACGCCACACCGCTTCCCTGAGATCTCTGGAAAGGAATCAATATGATGAAGAGGAGGCGCAAACAAGGGTCAGAAAGAAGAACGCTTCAGAGAGAAAGTCAGACCGAAGAGGAGCAAGTGAGGGGAGTCTGGAAGAAAGGGATGCACCGCTGGATGGCCTCGCAGCACTGGGTGAGCAACGATCACCTAAACTATGTCTATTTTGAGACAGACCTTACCACCACCAGAACATCAAGACTCACTCCAGGCGGCTTCTCAGCCACTTGCGTTCATTAAAGTGAACGAGGAATGGTCAGATGGAAGTGAAAACAAATCTCAGCCCCCACTGCCGCTCAGAGGCACCGATGCAGAAACCCCACCGTCAGTGGCTGCCCAATTAACCTGGCTCTGCCAGCAGCACCCTGCAGCACGCGGGAAGTTCGTTAGACCAAGCCCAGCCGTTAGCGCTGGGCCAGGCAGGAGTGCCAGGTCTCCACCTCCAAGCTAACTGGTTTCCACGGACGCTGCCCTTACCTGCGGCCGCTGCTTGTGCTGTGTCTGGCTCTGTGTCTGTGTCTGCTCCCAGTTCCCCCGGGCTCGGTTAGTGCCCACCGATGTCATCATTTACAGTATATACAAATAACAGTATTTACAAGGTAGAACTCTGTGGTGGGTCAGGGGAGAAGAGAGAACAGACTGTTAGAAACCAAAAAACAAAAGACAGCACCAAGACTGAACGATCGCGTAGGCAAGGCAGCCAGTAAAGCCATTGCGGGCCCCCACCCTCCCCCAAAAGCCACGGCGGGCCAGCCTACCATTTCCACGTGCCCCCAAGACAAAAAGGCCACCTCTACTTCTTGAGGTTTCTCCACCGGTACCCACAGTGGAGTGCTCCAAATGAAACATCACCTGCCTCCAGGTGGGAGCAACCGGGACCCAGGAACAGAAAAAGTACCTGGGGTAAAGGGCTGAGCAACTCGCTGCTACAATGCAAGTGTGTGAGCGGGCACGGATTTGCCATGACCGGGGCCGTAAGAAGCTGCAGGGATCAACTGGAGAAAGGAACGCTTGAAAAAAAGCTCTAAAGAAACTTCACTTTGAGAGGAGAACACCTCAGAGCCTCAGACACACCAGCTACTTCCCCTTCTCCTTTCCTGCCTTCAAAGCAGGGCAGGGGAAGCAAACGCTCTCCAGTATTAAGTGGTGCCACAGGTAAAAAAATACTGCCCTTGCAGAACTGCCAATTTTTGCTTGCTTCAGTTATTCCCCAGAACTGGAAATAATAAGTTTTCTTCTACCAAGTACTCTAGATTTCAAGGAGGAATAACAGCCAGCAACGTTCAGTAACTGCTTGAGGCAAAAAATCCCAGTAAGAGTTCAGGCCATGGAGCGTCCAAAGCAATTGAAGTTTTATAAATTCACACCGGGCTTCAGGGAAAGATCGCAACC